GACACCAAGCAGAAGGTCCCAAACATCAAGAGCCTGGATTTCTCCAAAAATGAGGTGAGAAGTGGATCCAGATCACTCTTGGATGGGAAGGGAGTCGGGCACATCATGGTGATGGTGTGAGGCAGGTAAGGTAATTTTTGAGACAGGGTAGGGCTAGGGGAGCAGGGACCTCCTGGGTTTCCCCCTGGTTCATGTTTCCTGTTCATAATTGCATTAGAAGTCTGAAGGAGAGTTGGACAAGGCGAAAGGGCTGGAGCCAGAAGAGATGTGTTCAGATACCTTCCAAGATAACTCAGTTAACGTAAGGTCAGTGGTGCGCTCTGTAGGATGTTTCAGCCCAGGTCTACTGGAAGGACCCCGTGCCCTGGCCTCTCCCCTCTCTGTCTCTCACCTGTGAGTCAGACTGATCTCCACATACTGTTTCTGTGTCACTGGAGATGGGTATCAGGGCTGTCCCGTGTCAGCTTCCTGAGAAGAAAGAGAGGGGGAGATGGGACTGCTGAGGGAGCACACTAGCTTTCTCTCTGCTTGAGTCCACATGGGATTTGCCCAGGTTCTGGAGGCTCTGATGTTACTTGTTTTTCTGTTTTGTCTTGATATTTTGTAGCACCCTCTTGGAATTGTTCCCCAAGTTATTACGTTTGGTAAGTGCATTTTGTAGTTTTATCCTTGACTCCTTCATTGGTATTAATGCCACTTACAACCTGCCCTGAATCTCTTAGACCTTGTCCAGGTTAGATTTTTGGTTTTCTGGCCCCTAATCTTCATGAGGGAACATGAAAGTATATATAGACCTTATCCACAGTTCTCCACCAGCTTCTAGCACTGCTGGCAGAAGACCCCACAATAACCTTCCCTTGCAATATCCAGAGAGAGCCCTTTAACCCTGACATCTGAGACGCCCTCTTTCCACAGGCTTTATTTTCCCTGACCATCCAGTGCTGCCCCCTCGTCTGCACTGCTGACTTCCTCTTCCTTCCCTTAGGATGGTCAGGAGTTATCCCCATCTGTTGTCTGTGACACTGAAGAGCACAAGAATTTACCATTCTTCAAGGTGAGGATCAAGCAGAATCAAGGAGCTGTGATCAAGCAGGGCATGAGGTATTGGGTTAAGAGGTCCAGTAGCCATGGTCCTGAGGACCTTGTCATTCCAGGGGGATGCTTTTGGATCAGAGACCATGAAGAATCTTATCTTGAAATTCCTGAAGCAGTAAGTAATTCTGGGGCACTGTAGTGGCCGGGTGGTGGGGCCATGTTAAGAGAGGTCAGACCAGCCACGCACAGGTCTACTCTGGGGAGAGAGTGGGTGGATTTCAAGTCCATTTAGGGCCCCAGACCACAGTGTCACCCTCTTTGATTCCCTACAGGTACTACTGGATCTATGACTACGGGGATCGGCAGGGCCTCCTGGGTGCTTACCACAGTGAGGCCTGCTTCTCACTTTTCATTCCCTTTAATCCTCAAGACCCAGCTTCGTGAGTATCCCAGGTCCAATGGCAGCTCTGGACACTGTGACTTCCCAGAAGACACTGGCCAGTTTCCCAACTCCTATTCTTCCTTTTCTCCTATGAGCAGCTTGGCCACGTACTTCAGGTACAGCAGGAATATGAAGACATGCAAGGACCCCAGTAAGTCGTTTGCACAGAAGTCATGATGGGGTCAATTTTAGGGACCAGGTAAACAAGGCAGCCCCTGACCCTCTGTTCTCCTGCCCTCTCAGACCTGAGGGCTCATTTGCTGAAACACACAAAACATGACATTGTTGATTTCCTAAGTGTGCTGCCTAGAACGCAGCATGACCTCAGCTCCTTCCTGGTGGATGTGTGTGTCCAGACGGTGAGCACCTGCTTCTCCCAGAGGGAGGCTCAGAGAACGGAGGTGGGTAGTTGGTTGAGGGGGATCCTGGGGGCCTGAGCTGTCTCACTATTTCAGGAAAAGATGCTCTGCTTTTCTGTCAATGGGCTGTTCAAGGAGGGTGAGTGTCTGTAAAGTTCCTTCTCTAGGTCCCCCACTGCTCCCTCTCAGAACTCTCCACAAATCCCTGATCCCTTCCCTTCCTCTTCTCTCTGTGCTCTCCAGCTCCCACATGGACCCCAGCCCTCCCTGGTCTGAGTTATATCCATATATGTCTGCCCCGGGACATCCCAGGGGACAGGACCCAGGCTGTAGACTTTCATGAGCCTCATCCTCATCCCTCACTCTGCCACCTTGTCAAACTTGCGAAACCTCTAAGCTGCCTCATTTACAGAAACGTGGCTGCCAATTCCTTTCTCTTAAGCTGCTGTGAAAAATGATGAGATGAACTCGTGAAGAGATTGTCATAGGGACAGACACAGATTCAGAATCCTATCACTGGGAGGTGTTGTACTTATCCTTTCCTCTCCTTTGTTGAAGGAGCTCTGGTAGCATAGTGGTTACCAATTGGGCTGCTGACCTCAAGGTCAGCAGTTCGAAACAACCAGCTATTCACGGGAGAAAGATGAGACTGTCTGCTCCCATAAAGATTACAGCCTCAGAAACCCTGCACAGGGTTGCTATGAGTAAGAACCAGCCCCATGACACACCACCACTATAACCACCCCTTTGTTCACATCCCTTTGGCTCCCAGGGGACAGTCCTTCCTGGGTGGTTACCTTCAAAGTGACATAGGAAAATAAGTTACTGAAGAGGTTACACAGCAAGTGAGTGTGTAATGGGCAAACTCTCTGTGTTGTTGCTGTTTGTCTTTGAAGTAGAAGGAATGTGTCAGCTTCGTGTTTATGCCTTCACCCGGACCTTCATTTTGACTTCTGGCAACAATTCCAAGTAAGTGCTGTATTTTGGATCCTAGAGGATCACCCATTCCAACCTGGTCCCAGGGGTGTGGGAAGGTGACGATGTTATACTCCAGATCTCGCCAATATTGAAGAAAGCAAATACAGTAGTTCCCAAAAGAAGTCCTGCCTAGTGGCTAAGAGCATAGGTTTTGGTATTGGAATAGCCAGTTTTCACCCTGACCCGAGCATTCACCAGTTATATGACCTTGGTAACCTCTGTATTACTCAAGGTCCTCCTCTGAATGATTAGATTATCTACCTGTTTTGGCTGCTGTAAGGGTAGAGGTAGGTGGTGGTGAAAATGTCTACGGTTTGGGGATAAACCTACAAAGCTAGTGAAAGTGGCCTGTATCTCTCCAAGGGCTGGTTTTTTTTGGGAAAATGGTTGCTGAATGGAAACAGGATTGTTATTGAGGGTGGGGGTTTCCTCCATTTGTCCAGCTGTCTGAGGGCTCATTCATTCTTCCTCCAGCTTCTACATTGTAAATGACCAACTGTCTCTGAGAGATGCCAGCCCAACAGAGACCCAGAGTGCCTCTCCCCCACAGTGTGCATACTCTCCTACTACTCCTTACCTTCCACCTTCCCAAGAGCAGCGGGACATGGTGCAGTCATTTCCTGTCAGTCTGATGAAGCTAGAGTGCTCTCAGAAGTGAGTGCTGGGAGTAGGTAGCCATGGAGGTGAGCTGGGGGGAGCTGACAATGAAGAGCGGGAAGTCACTGGCACAGTGCTTTTCTTCTTTGTTTCACTCATCCTCACACTAGATAGCTTTCGCATGCAGTATATATTATGCCACCTAGGAGCTTTCAACATGTGTACTGTACTTTCTGAATTCCATGGACCCTGTCCCTTTATTGGCAGACACTGGGCTTTCCTGGATTTTTTGCCCTTACTTACTGGGAAACTGAGCTCATTCTGCTGATTTTGTCGCAGCACATGGGGAAGCATGTTTGTGAGGTCATGTTTATGTGGTCAGTTTTCTTCTCTTTGCTCCTGGCGGGTATTGCCCATCCTTACTCCACCCTAGGTGCCATCATGACAATAACTGGGACGCTACCACAACCTCACAGGGTTTTTATTTCTCCACCTTGATTTGATTTCACCACCTTGAGTTGGGCCAAATGAGCAGACTCTGGGTGGTCTGGGGCCGACATTCATACCTATGATGATGTTCAACCTCCTCCATTTCCTCTCTCCAGACTGTGATCAAGGTCCCAGATACCTTCATGAAGTAACCCATGGTCCCAACAACGAAAACACCAAAGGAGCCATGGTCCTGGCCATGTTCATTAAACTTGTCCTTCTCCCTCTTTTCTCTGGCCATTGTTCTGTTTTGCTCTACCTAGTTTCTCTGTTACTTTTCAAAATAAAGGATGACGCTGCATGTTATATGTCAAATCCCAGAAGTACCCATTTATGGCAAGCATTAATAACACTGTAATGCAGAGGGGAAAAGGAAGGTCAAAGAGAGTAAGCAATTTCCTTAGAAACTGCAGAGAAGATGCTCAAATCATGGCTCCATCCTAAAGCCCAGGTTGTGGCTTCAGAGGTGGGGTTTCAGTCTAACCCTTATAAATCTGGGTGCTTGTTTTCTATGTTCCTACTCTGGTAGCATAGTGGTTATGAATTGGGCTGCGAACAGCAAGGTCAGCAGTTCGAAACTACTGGTTGGTCCGTGGAAGAAAGATGAGGCTTTCTGCTCCCATAAAGATTTACAGCCTAAGAAACCCTGTACAGGGTCACTATGAGTCAGAACTGACTCCAGGGCACATAACAACAAGAATAACACCAACAACGATATAAAGAAATCAGTAGAGAGAAAGGAAAATGGTATAAACCCAGAATTCTTATTTAAAACAATGGTTATGACAACATAGTTATGAAGAGCTGTCATCCACAATCACTATAAAAATTTCAAATAAGATAATAAGAGATGTAAAACAGCTCTTTAGCTATTTTTCTGTAACTTCAGAAATAATGCTTTATACAAGTGTGTCCATATTGATACACTGTGTACAAAAACTGTATATAAGCCAACAATTATAGAAGTACACTATTATGTCAGGTTAAAACATCTGGAGAGATGTCACCTGTGAGAGGATGGCTTATTTTTTCTATTAGGGACCCCTCCGTGGTGTGTAACTTGCCTCAGGGTCTAGAGAAGATGGACAATAGTTTGTCCGAGGCAGATGCTTCTGGGTTATTTCTGGAAAGGGTCCACTATGGGCTATCTGCTGAAGGCCAGGAGCAATGATGAAAGAGAGTTTTGATGGATAGGCAGCCTTGGTGTCTCTGGATGGGGAAGGAGCTGATAAGGCAAAGCCCTTCAGACATGTAATTCCTGGGCAACCCCCAGCTTGCTGTTGTCTGCAGCTGAGAGCCAAAAATACTTTAAGTAAAAACAAAACAAAACAAAACAACCCAGAAACCTGCTGTTGTTAAGGGCCCAGCACAAACGGTTGTCCTTTGGAAAGGGAACCTGAATGGGAGGATATTAACATTTGTGTGATAAACCGTGTTCTTGTCTTGCTAGAACCTTATGCTAATATCAAAAGCATGGCATTGACAGAATGTAGGAGGCAAAGGTGCAATGGGAAAGTAACACTTACTGAGGCATAGAGATGTCACACATGGTAAGGTTTTACTTTCAGACTTTTGGCTTCAAATACTTAAAAGAGTGCTCTGGGACAGGCATCATGACTTACCTAACAGATGGAGTAATCAACTCACAGAAATCTAACCAGAAAAACCCAAAACACACTGCCGTGAAGTTGATTCTGAATCATAGGGTAGAACTGCTTCGTGGGGTTTCTGAAGCTGTAAATCTTTAACGAAGAATGCTTCATCTTTCTCCTGCCAAGAGGTCAGTGGTGAGTTACATATCTTTGATCCCTCTACTAGGAATCAATGAAGTCAAATGAACACAGAGGCCAACCTGAAGGGGCTTCCACTGTCCACTTTGAAGACAAAATGAACATTAAAATAAATAATAATGGTAACAGATGGTAAACATTTCAGCAAAATAGGAAACTATGAGTCTTACTAATATAATAAATACATGCATACATGAATAGATAGATAAGGGAGAAAGAAAAGGTTTATCTTACAGCCAAATGTTAATTAATAAACCTAGAAGCAATTAGAAAAGCAAACCTTGATAACTATCTTGATAAATAATAAGTGATTCAGGCAAGAATCCAAAATGGAAGGTAGTTGTTGTTGTTAAGTGCCTTAGAGTCCAGTAAGACTCATAGCTACCCTGTATAGGGTTTCTGAGGAGCAACTGGTGGACTTTAACTACCAACCTTGTGGTTCGCAGCCCAGTGCTGATCCTACAGGGCCACACCAGGAGTCCAAATGGAAGACCAGTCTGCACCAAATCCCAAAGATGTCACAGAGCCATCATGGTACCTGAAGCTGGCCATGTAAACATGAGGGGAAAACAAAGCCTGACTTGGTTCTACGGGGCAAGGGACTCAATGGGATGGGCATGACCCAGAGTAAATACCTCAATTACTTCTCACAATAAACATTCCCAGAAAATGCAGACACGAAAACACACACATGCAAGCACGCACATTCTCTCTTCCCCTTACTTTCTCTCTCCACTCAAGCCACTTTCTTATGGGCCCTGTCTGTGCCTAGAAGGCACCTCCAGTTCACCATTGTAGAAGGGCACCATGCTCACTGTGGCTGGGTGGGACAATGAATGCCAGTCTCAGATGCTAACATGACAGCCGGGCACCAAGCCCCCAAATGGAAAAGAGGCAACTTGACTGTGGGAATCCTTGATAGCGCCCACTCCAACTCCCAACCCCACTCAACACAGGTGGGAACATCTAATCGCTCAGTAGAATCCTAAGCACCTGAAAGCCGTAACCAGCTCCTCATATGGTGTCACGTGGTCACATCTGTCTTTATTGAATAGTCAGTGTGGACTACATCCTGACATCAAGGTTCTATTGGAACCACAGCTGCTCTGGACAACAAAAATAACTCCAAATGACTTTTGACATCCATGTCTCAAAATATTTCTTATATAAAACACAAAGGCACAACTGGTGAAATGTTTTCTTTCTTCAAGATTAAAAACATCTCTTCAAAAGACACTTTCAAAAATAATAAAATATTAACACACACACACAGGGAGAAAGTATCCACAATACATAAATCTGATAGGAGACTTGCATTCAGAATATATTTTTTAAATCTTAAAAATCATGTAGTAGAATTACATAATTTTTCATAAACACCAGAATGCGATATAACTAAAATGACAAAAGAGTGACCGTATCAAGTGTTAGCAAGAATATAGAGGAATCATGCCTTTTACGTATGTCTTCTGGGAACATTTAAATGATACAATTACTTTGGAAAATATAGAAGGTCAATGTATACCTTCTTTATGTGCCAGTCATTCTATTCCTAGCTATGTACCCAAGATAAATAAAAACACATGTCTAAAAAATGTATATAGTCATTCCAAGCACGTGTATCTTCCAGGAGCTAAAAACAACTCACTTTCCCACCAACAGGTGAATTGCTGTTGTTAAGTACCCTCTAGTCAGTTGCGACTCATAGCGACTCTGCATAGGGTTTCCAAGGAGCGACTGGGAGCCCTTGTGGTTCTAACTGACCTTGCAGTCCAGAGCATTAACCCAACGCCACACAGGTGAATCGGTAAACAACATATAGGATAGTCATGTAATGGGATCCTACTTATCAATTAGATGCAATAGATGATTAAAACACAAAACATGGAATACTTTCAAATAACAATGCTGAATGGAAGAAGCCAAACCCCACCGGCCCCTCCCCCATAAAGAGTACTATCAGAAACCATAAAGAAGCTTTTAAATTGAACAAAATTATATAACTATAATAAATATCTATGCTCCCAATGAAAGAGCTCCAAAATATATTAAGAAAATTTTAATAGATTTGAAGAAACAAATAGACAAATCTATAATAATAGAGGGAGATTTTTAATACACCACTTAAAAAATGTTTTATTGTGAATTGTGTGAACATTAGCTTTACATTCATTCCATCATCTATCATTTCATTGGCATAGTTACCATCCCATCCATGCATCCTCACCCAACCAAAGGGTGTACCCTGTAAGCCTGCACCCCCACGACCCCACAGTCCTCAGCCCCTTTCCATCTCCTGATCCCGAGTCCCCAGCCACACCATCTCTTGACGTTGTCTTCTCTGCCTCCATCTCAGGCCTCACCGCTTCTCTGGGTAGGATTCCGCTCTCCGCTTTTCTCCATTGATGGTCCTAGGGTCCTCTGCTCCTAGACTGAAAAGTTAATCACTCCCCTCCTTGCTACAAAATGTCCACCTTTAGATTTCCAACTCTCACAATCAGTCCTGATAACAATTATTCACCATTGCATCACAAGAGACCCATCTGTATTTCATTTCATCAGCCCTTCCTGGACAGGCTGGACACTATTCACTGGAGACTCTACCTTCCTCCACGCCCTTTGGATCTAGGTTCCCTCTTGAGCCAGTCACTTCTTGCCTTTGTATCCCTCCCCCCATTTTGGGTAGCCAGTGTCCAAGTTGCCCATCTCTGTCTTTCCTTTGTGTGGAGGGGGTGGGAATAGTTCTTGCAGCAGGGATTTGTTTCCTCTTTTGAGTGACTGT